AATTAATTTTGGCACCATGATCCGGGCTTTGACCTGGTATGAGCTAAAGTTCATCCACTGTATGTTGACTGATTTTCCTTATCACTTATTTCTCAAACCTTTACTTAATGACCCTGTGTAGGTTTAATCTCCTACAGACAGCCTTTGCAAGCTTCATACTGCTGTCAAGCAAATGAAGATGCAGTAGTCTATTGCTTGATTTGCACTGCTGTGCTTGAGGAATTTTTTTAAGACTAGAAGAAAACACTGCTAGTCGTTGACCAGAGAAGAAAATATATGCATTCTTGGCTGTTATCCCAGAAGCTTGAGTAAGCTGTAAATGATAATGACAGTTGCTAGTTCAGAAAATTTGATCCCAGTAGGTTTATTTCACTCAAAATTGCTCTCATTAAGAAGCTGCTTGTAGTTTAATGGAAGTATTAGCAGCCTGAACTGGCACTAGCTAAGTATTCTGTTCTACAAGACTGCTTACATTTTCCACAGGAAATGGTTTTATAAATCATTCTGGAAGTTTAAGCTTATTCGAGTACCTGGGGGTGAAATATACTATAACAATGTGAAGTAGAGTTTGAGAAGAACGTGTCATTAGTAACACCAGAACTAGACAGAGAAACAACAGATTAAACAAAAAGATGTCACTAGAAATGCAGCATTTCTGAAGCCTTTGTGGGCCTTTACCCATATAGCAGTTGATGTCCTGACTCCAGTCCTACCTAAAACTGAAGTTACAATGCAGATTATCTAGTTCGTAAGGACCTAAATTAGAGCTAGTGATGAATTGACAAGAGGTGCTTAGCCAGAAAACAGTGGAAGGGAATAATTTTTGTCAGTATTTTTCACAGAATATTTCAGCTGCTTCTTAGTAAAAAGCTTGCCCTCCAAATGGCCAAAATGGCACTCAGGTAGAAAAAAAAAAATTTCCAATCAATATATATCCAGTGAAGTGGATTTGGATGGATTTTTTTTTTTTTTTTAAGGAGTTGTGCCTAAAATGTGTTCACATACAGTGCTGTGGTTTTTTTAGTTCTTAGATATTGCCTATGTGAAACTTTAATTTTCAAGGGTTTGGATTAATATTGGGCTCTAGACATTTATTGAGTTGTGAACAAGATGTTTATAATTCTTTTTTTCTGAAACCTTAGTGCTGGTACGCTCTTTGCATCGCTGTATGCTTCTTTCACAATACTTAGGCTAGTATGCCAGGCTGCTATACATCATATCTTTCAGTGTCACCCAGATTAAATAAATTCCTAGATATGAAGTTCCTAGGGACCACTGTCAACATAAGATTTTTCTCTCCTCCAAATACATACCACAGAGCTTCTTTCAGTGAATTCCTGATTCAAATCAAATAGCTGTGATTAAGTTAGAGCATTCTCTTTATAAAACAAAATCAAAAAACTGTACATCCAGAACTCTTCAGCCTCTCAAATACCTTTAAAGTTTTCTTTAGGCATGCTGCTTGCCTATATCATAGTGCAAATAGAAAGAAGATAACAATCTGGATCTCTTGGTCCTAGCAAGAGAAACAACAAATTTATCTGCCTAATTTGACTTGTTTAGGAACCCAAATGCTGCGCTACAGCAAAAGTGCAATTGAGAAACATTTAGCTCTGCTGTATATCCAATAAATAAGTAAATTTATACTTTATTTAATCCTTGGCCCCTTGAGCTAACATTTTCAGAAGATGGAAATTTCTTCTAGAGTGTTTAAATCTTCCTGAGAGCATGAGAGAAGAGATTCGGATTCATTAGACAGCACCTTCCTCTTTGTACTTTAAGGAAAATGTTGTGCATAATGACAAATGTGTTTATATCTCGTAATCTTTTTCTTTCCTTTGCAGTACTTTCCACATAAGAATCTGAAGATGTTTCTGTGAGCCCGCAGAAATGACTTGCTAGTCCAGCCTTTCTGAATCTCAGGCACTTTGAGGGCTTTTGTCCTCTAATTATGGCTTCTTAGAACTCAGCAGAGTGTACTGAAATCATCCTGTTCCACAAAGAGACAGAAGCATCATGTGGTCTACAGGATATTTGAAACAGTCACATTTTTATCTTCACTACTGGCCAAGCACTCTGGCAAAGATGGTTGGTTGTTGGGTTGTTTTTTTTCTTTTTTTTTTTCTTTTTTTAAACTGGCAGAATCAGAATAATATTAAAAGTATTTCCACATAGTTTTTATATTTATGAATATTTAATACTGCTCTTAAAAGTGCAAAAAAAAAAGACAGAAAAAATAGCTTTGGTGACTTTTACAAGAGTATTTGAAAGAAAGCACGGGCCTTAAATTATGAGATGCCTCTATCACTGTGTTGTACAGCTGGGGGATCTTTCATGGAAATAATCTTAGGTGGAAGAACTGCAGTCAAGATCAAGCTCCCAGTGTTGAAGACAACCACATCCCAGGTTTGCCTTTCAGTCACTGAAATGGCAGTTGCTGGGTTTGGTGCTTACCTTCAACCAGTACTTTATGGATTGTCATGTCCTTAGGAAACTTGAAATATTTGCCTTTTGTATATGATAACTGCATATATGATGCATTTCTTCCCAAGATAAACATTAAGACTGTGTCCTTATTCTCAAAGGGGTCTTGCATTTTACTCATTCTGTGGGCTAATAATGTTGAGTGGAAGAATATGATCATCTGTAACTCATGAAGAAGTACTCGAAGAAGCACAGAAGTACTACTAAGGACATGAAAAGACTTTTTCTTTCTAAACCAGCTATGCAATCTTTCCCATAAAGTGCATGAATGCAGCTCTGTATTTCTCTTCCCTCTCCAGCTGGAAGTCAGCTCAATTTTTTTTTTTTTTAAATTCCAGTATTGTTTAGGTACTGGGGCCTGAAGACAATCATATGTGCATTACTGTTCTAACAGTCAATAGAAGGGCTCTGTCACTTACATGGCTTCTGTATCAGAGTCACCACAATTAAAACTTTTGACGCATTCTGTTCTACTTTGAGAATTTTTGGGCTAAGCACATGCTAACTTCCTTTCTGGTTATTATTCCAATTACTGTAAAGTTAAATCTTTCAAAAGATGAAATGTGTTATTCTTATTGAAAAAGTTGTTGAAGTAGAGAAATTAATATTTTTACCATTTCTGTAGGGATGATGACGCTTATCTACCTTGAAACCTCTTATGTGTGATGAACTTGCAATGTAGCTAGCTGTTCAAATTTACACAGTATACACCAGGAAGAAATATTTATCTAGCAGTATGGTTGTACATTAAAAGTGCTGACAGAAATTTTGGATGTTCAAGGTATACAGGACAGACTTTTCTAAGATAGCATAGTGAAAATGAAACTTGTATGTTAGTAATAATATTTATTTTTAAAATACTCTAGAGTGACCATATTCAGTAATGTTTATAGCATTTTAGTAATTTCTCCTACTGGTTTCTGTTTAGATAAAGGAATTAGAGCCTGAAATCCCTTTCATTTATTTACCCAAGTTAAAATCAGCATACATCAATCCTGATATTCATTTCTGATTGTGTAAGAAGAGATTCAAGCCTCTATCTTTTTCATTTCTAACAGATTAAGTTAGATGTATTGGTTGACTCAAACGATTTGCAAGACTGTCATTAAAAGAGATTACGTTAAAACTACTTCCTATTAATTGAAATGTCAGCCTAATAGTTTTTTGTTTTTTTTGAGATACATTCAATCTTGAAATGCTTGTGAGGTGTATTTTTCTGTCGTGATTAGTATGTATTGTAAAATACCCGATTGCAAGATTCTGGATCAGATTATTCAGACAAATGCTGATGACGTAGGTCAATTCCTTTTGACATCAGTGTTCTTCTATGTTTTAAAATTTCTATTAGCTAAAATTCTTTCTTTCCCGACACTGTGTGTAATTCCACAATTAGATCATCCTCCTCACTTAAAGAAAGACCTCAGTTGCCTTGGAATGTGCTCACTGTGTTGTTTCCCTATGTCCTCCCTGACCTGAATGTCACAAAGCAGTTGAAGAGACTCTTGGGCTTGTATTCAGATGTTTAATCCTAGAGTCGTCCATCTAAGCTGAGAAACAAAAAGAAAAAGAAATCAAGAGCACCCTGTGAAGGAATATTTCTGTCCACAGTTAAAGGAGAATTCTTGCAGAATACCGCAGATACAAATGCATGCAGTTGTCTTAACTCCCTTCACTTCTTTCACTTTTGTTCATCCCCTGAAACAAAAACCCAAGCAACACAGTATGTTCCTGGAGTTTAAGAGAGATAGGTACTCTAAATGCTTCTGGAGCAAAATAATCCTACCTAATAGCAGGTAAATTATTATACCACCTGATGGCAAAGGTAAGGGATAGATTTCTAAAGAAGCTTCATATTTGCAGTTTCTTAGTTGTCTGTAATTGGATGTCTTATGACTGAAACTTGTTACAACAAAAATGTTGAGTGAATAGGAGTGCAGTATTATGCATTGCAAATTTAGATAATGTTATGAGGTAAAAAAACGGCCTGTATTTCTGCAATAGCATGATTAGCAGAATCTTAGGAATTCAATAGCAAGTGTTTCTTCAATCAGGCTTACTTATTCAAAAGGAACTATCAGGCAATTTAGGAAGAAACTGAAAGAACAAAAGAAATCTAGATTTAAAACAATTTTGGATTTGGCCTAAAAGCAAGAGGGCATGCATTTTGTATTGCAAAAAAGGTCTTAATTAGGAATGAATATTTCTATATTTGCCTTCAAAAATGGACAAAGAAAAAGGAAAACTACTACCTAAAGCTTCTGTTAAAATAGGTGAGTATGTGTGTGTTATCTCTAGTTTATATACATTTAAAGCATCTTAGGGACAAAAAGGAGCCAGTGGAAGTGAGTAAAACAGTGTCGAAGAGCAAGTAATAACAAGTTATTTATCAACACACTTTAGTTTATCATTGTTTTAATGGAAACGTTAATCTGAGATTTATAACAGCCTACAGGCCAAAATCTGATCTTCATTACTTTCATATTAATCTTCAGTAACTCTGCTGACTTCAATGGAATTAACTCATGCGTCTGTAATTGGATCTGTGCTGAGGAAAGCAGTTGTTTTTTTGCTACAGTTCTTTATGCTCTCTCATGCTCTTTTAATGTAATCTTAACATGCTCAATGTTCTTTTGTTAGTTGCTAACCACACGCTCCTCTTTGTCAACAGACTCAGAGCTGGAATCTCTTGCAGTTTCTCACAATCGCATAGAAACGGTCTCCTTTCCTTTCACCCCCAGGGGCTAATTTTTGTCTCCTTATACATGTTAGAGGCAGTTCTGCTGCAGCATCACAAGGTGGCACCATAACATCATATCAGGTCATGTCTTCCTTTAACTGTTTAAATTACCCTGAAGTGAAGGATACTGTATAGAATCTATGATGCCACAAACAAAAAGATGAAAACTGTGGTTGATTACTGATTTTAAAACTGTAGATAATTACACAGGAAGTTTCATATTTTATAAAATTCGTTGTTAAATCCTACAAGGGGCAAAACTAAATACTTTTGAAACAGGTACATGAAAACTTTATGATTTTATAGAATAATTTGTGTACATGAGAATTTTTTTCTTGATTCTGGATTGTGACCCGGTATAATGACAATGCTCCCTTATAGTATTTTCAACTCTGTCTCAAATGCAGCTACTGTACTTTTCCATATACAATTATTCATTTCCTTTTGTATGATGTTGCTCTCTAATATCTGATAATGATCAGAATAATGCACTTTTTTTTCCCCTTCTGTAAGTTAATGTGCTTTTAATTCCATCTGTTCAATTATGCTGTCTTTTCAGTATCATTGGATATTCTTTTCTTTTTTTTGCATTATGAAATAAATAGGAGCACCTCATGTTTTTTTTTTTTTGTAAAAATCATCATTTTATATCATCTGTCGTGTTCTCTGGTAATATGGCAGCCACAGCTGTTGCAAGTAATAGCAAAGTGTTGATTTATAGAAAGTTTTATGTATTTTCTATCTTATCCTTTATAAGTTATGCTAGCTTGTTCACCTTAGAACAGTGACAAGCACTAAGCTGAAGTATTTATAGGTGATCTGTGGTATTTATATCTTTTTTCTTTGTATGAGAAAACACAAGAATGCATTAATTAAAGTTTTATTTTAGCTGTGCATTATCTAATGCATTGAAGTTTTATCTACCGTAACGTTTTCTGTTTTATATTGGATTGTTATATTGGACAAGTTTTATATTGGATTGCTATGAAACACCTCCATCTCAGATGACCCATGTTATTTCATCTTCAGTGGTCCTTAGGCATATGTCTAATGTTCAACATGTGGGAAGCGTACTGTTGTGAGAAGTAGTTTCTTAAGTCAGGTCAAACTGAGGTAAGGCACCATGTATGATATTATCTGTCTTCTTACAGAGATGGAATCTGTTCCAGTGTTTGTTGGTTTTCATGAAAACAGCGTATTAAAAAAGATCCCTGAAAATTGAAATGTACATTAAAAATTAAACAAATAGGGTTTTTGTTGCAGAAACTATAAAATTCATATTCTAGAGACCTGAATAGATTCAGATTATATTCTGAAATAATAGAGTATAAAGGAAGCTAGAGACAGAGTTTTTGTTGTGGAATGGGAAATATTACACTTGTTGGTTCAGGATCCCCTATAAATCAGTTTCAGCTGAAATAACAGCAGGATTAAAAAGACTTTATACTGTTATTGCCCAATACACTTCAGCTGGGACAGACAGTGGAATGAAATTTGATGAGGAAGACATTAAAGATAATAAAATTATAATTGTTCATGTCCTTGGAAAGATATGTGTCAGAGACAGAAGTAAGGAACATAGTGAACAGATGTTCTGCTTTTTTCTCTGTATCATTTTGCAGTTAAGGGTGTCTTGTAGAGATGTTAGTGACACCAAGTGACTATCAAATTCTCTTTGGTGGGGAAAAGGAAGAGACTATTGTTAGTAGAATTAAAAGAGCATCAGCATTACAGATAAAAGTGCCTTAACTGGAACTTCTGCCATTCTTGTCTGTAAAAGACCTTTTACAATCTGAACTCCAAATGAAATTCCTGACTGCCCTTTTTTCTTTACTGTCTCTCATTTGCAAGACCAATGACAAGCCAGGTGCATCATCCTTGTGTGCTTTTCTGTTGCAAGGTAGATTGCTTGTTCCCTCTCTTTTTTCCTCAGTTAAAATTTGCTCAGATCCAGAAATACATCTTGTTATATCTATTTTGCACATGTATGATTAATCTGGCATGCATGCTGTTGAGTGCATGCTCATGAGC